ACAAATCGGGGAGAACGTTGTTCTTCTCCCACGGCCACCCCCCTTTGTGAACCCTACCCCTCGGGTGGGGAACGACGAAGGGGTCGTGGCTCAAGACACCGCTTCCCAGGAGGTCCAATCCCGGGACCAACGCGGTGCGAAAAAAGAAAGGCCTCGGACCTCAACTCTCGAGAGGCTCGGAGGAGCGCAAGACCGCCGAGGGGTCCAAGACCGCCTCGATGGAAAGGCGTCCTAAAGACCCCAAGAGAGCGGGGGATCCGTCTCAAGAGCAGACGAGAGGTGTCCCCATCAGGACAAAGGCAAGGCACCACTTCATGCCGATGACGCAAGGCACCAAATCAATCAGGCCCACTCGGCCCGTGTTCGTTCGTAGGGGGCGGAGGCCCTCCCGTAGGATCCCAGGGACGAAATCATTGCGGCCCTCCAGCACCGGCTTAATGAGATAGAGGCTCATAGAGCGCATACCACCGTCGCCACCCCTCATGTAGATCCGAAATATGAGGCCATGCTGGCCAAAATGGAGGAAATGCAGAAGCAAATAGTCGAAGGCTCCGGGGAACCCGTCATCCAACTTCGGACTAGGACGCCATTTACCCCAAGGGTATTGGCGGCCCGAATTCCGGAAAAATACCGGGGGCAGCCCACCAGGCCCTATGAAGGAAAGACGGACCCTCAGGAACATTACAGCCGCTACCAAAACAGCATGATGATGGTGGGGGCATCAGATGAATATTTGTGCCGTTGGTTCCTCTCCACCTTGGAGGGACCGGCGTACAAATGGTTCAACCGACTGCCCGAAGGCTGCATCGATTCATGGCAAGAACTCGCCCAACGCTTCTTGACGCAATTTGCAGGAACACGCCGGTCAAGAAAACATTTAATTTTTCAAAAAAAGGCTATTGAAATACACACATGGGTGTTTGTGTGTGGTTTCAGAGAAAAAGGTTATTGTAGAATCATAACTCATCAAACATAGTTTTGTTACATTTAATTTTTCAAAAAAAGTTTGAGAAAGAAAACACACAATATAAAGTTTTACATAATAGATTCTATGGCAAAGGACATGTTCTATAGCATGCATATTTTCATACTTTACTATTTACAATTTCAGAAAAAACTATTTAGTTAACTGTTTTAAAACTGTGAGAATGACAGAATAAAACTGTGAAATTGAAAGATTTTAAGATGTTTTGAAATGTATTTTCCTGTTTTCTAAACAAATAGTATTGAAAATGATGCTAATCATAAGAGTTAATTACTTAACTGTTGATTCGTTCTTGAGCTCTATTAAGATAGTAATTAAAAGCAGGACACCTGCAAATGACATTTGATAATAATTACAAAACCACAACAGGTTAAACAAAGTACATAATTAGTTACTAATACTTTGTTCATAAAAAAAGGATTTATTATGTGATGATCAGGTCAGCCCAACATGATTTTACAGGCCATGTTTACCATTATTTTGAATAGGCCAGATAAAAAAAACAGAACAAATAATTGACTCGCACCCAATTAATCAATCTGTCCAGTTTTAAAGTAATAAAAGGAAGGACAACTAAATCGTCTTCCTCGAGCAAGGACGGAACACAAATTTTCGAAGCAATGAATTGCCAACATCATACATATAGAAGTGGTCTAGAAAGTGAAGACATTCTTTATATATGTGTGTGTGTGTGATTCACAAATCTGCTTCCGGATGAATTCAACAAAATACTAAAACGATTATAGGAATATTAACAACTTACGCGGTAGAATTGTAGTTCTAAACGGCAAATCAATAAACTCCACAGCCAATAAATTCACAAATCTGTAACTCATGGACAAGAAATCATCGGCCCAATTCTGTAAAATTTTCAAACATAAAATCAATGAATTGTAGTTCGGTTTTAGTAAGAAAAGACAGAAAAGGCATACCATGATATTCAAGCAAAGTAGGTCATCATCAACCACAAGAACTTTCATTCCAATAGGGTAGTTGCGATAAAAGCCCTGAATTTCGAGAGAGAAGCCCTGAATTTCGAGAGAGAAGCCCTGAATTTTGAGAAAGAAGCCCTGAATTTCGAGAGAAAGCAAGTTGAGAGAGAGCAGCGGCGGAATATGAATCGCGAGAGACCCAGAATGTTCCTTCGATTATATACGTGTATTAGGTAGTCTAATTAGGTCGGTAAATTAGGTGTTTGGGCTGGCATGTTTTGAAATAGAGAATTCTTAACATATATTAGGCCCATTAACCATTTGTGATAGCCTATTTTAGAGCAAGTTTGGTACCACTAAAATCAGCTGATTTGGCTGATTCTGCAGAAATTTATGAAGTTATGGCTGAAGTGGTTGCATTGGCTGACTCGGATGATTTAAGAAAAAATTATTTTTGAAATATATTTTATTAATAAAATAAATAAAAAATTATATGTAAAATAGCTAAAATGGTCATATATAGAAACTTCTGCCAATATAGTCAGAAAAATAACTCCAACCTTACATTTTCAGCTTATTACACAATTTAGCGCGCCAAAGCAAAAAATTATGTGTTTGGTGAAAAAGTTAGCTGATAAGCCTGAAAAGCCGAAAAACATTGTTGTCAAACGGCCTCTTAATTAATAAATAAAAAAATTTACAAGGTGTTTTTTGATAAATATACAAGGTTATTTTATTTATAGAAAAAAATGACATAGTTAACAATAGGAGAGAAAAAATCCAACTTACATATTAATTAAATAAAAGAAAATATACAAAAAATTGTATGTGTATAAATATTTGAAGTGTTTAACATTAGATTGAACTTTTTTAGAGAAGTACGTTTTCCACGAAGGTATAATTTATTTTTATCAGAAGTGACGTTATATTCACACTTAATTATTATTATTATTATTATTATTATTATTATTGTTGTTGTTGTTATTATTATTATTATTACTCTTATATAGATTTTTTCCAAAATATAGAAAATATCCATCCTCAAGGTGTAAAACACGCACGAGTTGGTGATGATAGTTCATTTGTTCCTCATAAAGGGATTTCCTTCAGAGGAATTGTTTCAGGATTTCTCAATATACCGTCTTTGGTGGATATTACAAATGGTAAAATGTTATTTCTATAAAATTTATATTCTGTTTTCTATGTCAATTTGAACTTATGTTGAAATCTCATTTTACGTGATTATTTGAAATGTTATTTATCATCAAGCTCAACGAGTTTCTGATAGAAGTGAGTCCCATTCGACCAATGACAATACCATCTTGGAATCCAAGGCAAAGTCTCCCAATATAACTCATGTAAATACTAATGAAATCGGTGAGTATTATGTAATAATGCAAATAGAAGCATACCTTCAAAATGCTATTGCGATGATTTTAATTCATTAGCATAACTATATAGGTTCTTTCAGTGGTGGAGATAATGAAATCATGCAAGATAGTAATCATCTTACACGCATCCCTCACGATGATGAATTCCTACCATCCAGTTCTACGTGTACTTCTATCAAAGAAAGTGGTTTAAGAAGATCAATTCCTTCAAGAACTTTTGATCAAGATCTTGAAGACACACCACATTCATTAGTATTAGATGAATCCGATATTGACGAAGATGACGTAGATGATGAATGTGTAGACTATGAAGAACTTCCGAGCATAACAAATGCATCGAAAGGTTTTTTTAATCCACAAACATATCATTGTGGAATTCTTTAATATAATATTCTTAAAATTTTTGAAATGCATTAAAATATTTTTATGCAGAGTATTGGGATATTGATGACCCAGTATATAGTTGTCCACATTGTGGAGCAAATTTTTGGTTTGAAGAGAGAATTCAATCAATATCTTCAAAGAAAAATCCAAAATATTCTTTGTGTTGCTCACATGGGAAAGTCCGGCTAGCGTGCATGAAAGAACCTCCTTTGGTATTATGTGACCTAATTGGCGGTGGAGACCAGAGAAGCAAACATTTTCTTGAAAATATTAGGTCATATAATAGCATGTTTGCTTTCACCTCAATGGGAGGTAAAATAGAGTGCAATATCAATAAGGGAAAATCTCCTCCGATCTTCAAGCTTCATGGTCAAAACTATCACTTGATTGGAAGTTTACTACCAATAGAGGGATCAAGGCCTAAATTTGCCCAATTATACATTTACGATACTGAAAATGAGATCGAAAATAGAATGTCATCTGTGAGGTAAATTTTTAATTCTATTTTGATTATTGAAGTTTCAATGCATTTTTTAAATTTCATATATATTCTCTTTTCAAGGAAACAATTTTATACAATTTGATTGGTAATATGTAGGGATATCAGCCAAAAAAACCAATTGCATCAGGAAATTGTCGAACAATTAAAGGACATGTTAAATGAGAACAATGTATTGGTAAAAAGTTTTCGCATGGCTAAGGAAAAGTTGCATCAAAATGTTGATTCCAATGTACAACTGAAGCTTATTGGTAAGCGCAATAGTGATGCGAGAACTTACAATCTACCATATGTTTCCGAGGTAGCGGCATTAGTTGTTGGAGACTTTGATGAATCTCTTGGGGAAAGAGACATTTTGGTACAGACTCGGACGGGAAAGTTGCAGCGAATCAATGAGCTTCATCCAGCATATTTTGGATTGCAATATCCTTTGTTATTCCCGTATGGTGAAGATGGATACAGAGAAGATATCCCACTCACAACTTCAAATACAGTTGCAGGAACTGGAAGATGGAGAGTTAGCATCCGTGAATTTTTGGCATATCATTTACAACAAAGGATCACCAAAGTTTCTCATATTTTGAAAACAAAGCGCCTTTTGCAACAATTTATTGTCGATGGCTACACCATGATTGAGTCTGCTAGACTACAATTTATAAGAACTCATCAAAAGCAATTGCGTTGCGAAATGTATAAATGGTTGAGTGACGCACTCTTGCGGGGAGAGAATGATCCATGCACACAAGGAAAAAGAATAATTTTGCCTCCAACATTTACAGGCGGTGCCCGTTTTATGATTCAAAATTATCAAGATGCAATGGCAATTTGCAGATGGGCGGGATACCCAGATTTGTTTATTACGTTCACATGCAATCCTAAATGGCCTGAGATTACAAGATTTTTGAAAAAACATAACTTGCAGCCGGAAGATCGACCAGATATTGTATGTCGTGTATTCAAAGTGAAGCTTGATTCTTTGATAAAGGATTTCCGTCGCAACAAAATTTTCGGTGATGTTAGAGCAGGTATGTTGATTCAATATAATGTGTAATATCTTTTTTTGTGATTGTTTTTAATACATATTAAAATTTTTACAGTTGTGTATACAATCGAGTTCCAGAAACGTGGTTTGCCCCATGCACACATATTGTTATTTTTGGAGAACAATTCTAAATTTCCAACCGTTAGCGACGTTGATAGAATTATCTCGACAGAGATTCCTGATCGCATAGTTGATCCCGACTACTACGAGGCCGTTAAAGATCTTATGATGCATGGTCCCTGTGGTGTAGGTGTTAGTTTCTCTCCATGCATGGTTGATGGAAAGTGCTCAAACCACTTTCCAAAAAAGTGGTCTAACAAAACGACAGTTGATGGTGATGGGTACCCCATTTATAGACGAAGAAATGATGGGCGAAGGGTTTTAAAGAATAATGTTTTGTTAGATAACAGATTCGTAGTACCACACAATCGTTTTTTATTGATGAAGTATAGAGCACATATGAATGTTGAGTGGTGCAATCAATCTCGATCAATTAAGTATTTGTTTAAGTACATTAACAAAGGGCGAGATCGAGTTACGGCAGGGTTTTGCAATACCTCTAATGACCAAGATGCCAATAATGTCGTTGATGAGATCAAAATATATTACGATTGTAGATATATCTCTCCCTGTGAAGAAGCATGGCGCATTTTTGGTTTTGAAATCCAGTATAAAAATCCTGCTGTGGAACGTCTTAGTTTTCACTTCCCAGAAGAACAAACCATCATTTTTTCTGATAATGATAGTATTGATGCAGTTCTTGGACGAAAAAGTGTAAAAGATAGTATGTTCTTGGGTTGGTTGGAGGCAAACAAGAAGTTTCCAGAAGCAAGGGAATTGACATACGCAGAATTTCCTCAGAAGTTTGTCTGGAAGAAAAATACGAGGGAATGGGTGCCAAGAAAAGTTGCATTTGCTATCGGAAGAGTCTATTATGTTCCACCAGGAAGCGGTGAGTCATATTATCTAAGATGTCTACTTAATCATATTCGTGGACCGACATGTTTTGAAGATTTGAGAACTATCGATGGTGTGTTGTATAATACCTATCGAGAAGCTTGCTACGCTCTTGGGTTATTGGATGATGATAAGGAGTATATTGATGGCATTTCAGAAGCAAGTCTGTGGGCTTCTGCTCTATCTTTGAGAATTTTATTTGTCGTGTTATTATTATCCGAATCACTGAGCAGGCCATATTATGTTTGGGAAAAATGTTGGAAATATTTGGCAGACGACATACAATATAAACACCGTTTGATATTTCAACACCCTGGTAATTGGAATATGATTTTTGTATTTTTTAAAAAAGTTATGAGTTTATATAGATTTTTTTGAATAACTAACTTCTAAAGTTTAAAAATTATGCAGATTTGGTATTAAGTGATGATGAATTGCAAAAGTATACTTTAATTGAGCTTGAGTATTTGTTGCAAAGTCGTGGTAAGAGTCTGCGTGACTATCCACCAATGCATGTTCCTCCCGTAGATTCTACATCGTATTCTTATAACAGACTCATCCATGAAGAGATGCAATATGAACGTGATGCTTTGTTTGAAGAACATCAGGAGTTGTTCAGAAATTTAACTGATGAACAACGTCAGATTTATGATAAAATAATGGAGGCAATCGACAAAAAACAAGGAGGCGTGTTTTTTGTATATGGATATGGTGGTACAGGGAGGACATTTGTGTGGAGAACACTTTCTGCTGCTATTCGTTCTAGAGGTGAAATTGTTATTAATGTGGCTTCAAGTGGCATTGCTTCATTATTGCTTCCAGGAGGATGAACAGCTCATTCTCGTTTTGCCATACCACTATCATTGAATGAGGATTCAACATGCAACATCAAGCAAGGTAGTCCTATTGCACGTCTCATTGAAAAATCCAAACTCATCATTTGGGATGAAGCACCGATGCTCCACAAATACTGCTTTGAGGCTCTAGATAGAAGTATGCGTGATATTATGCGATTCTCATGTCCAAACAGCCTCCACATGCCTTTCGGAGGGAAAACTATTGTATTTGGAGGAGACTTTCGTCAAGTGTTACCTGTTATTCCTCAAGGTAGTCGACAAGATATTGTTAATGCTACAATAAATTCTTCATATTTGTGGAGCAGTTGTGATGTTTTAAGGTTGACTAAAAATATGAGATTGCAAGGTCCAAGCAATTCAGATGAATATGAAGCAATAAAAAGCTTTTCCGAGTGGATTACCTCTATTGGAGATGGTGTTGCTGGAGGACCAAATGATGGTTGTGTGTCTATTGAAATACCAGAAGATTTTCTTTTACACACTTCAGGAGATCCAATAGCAAAAATTGTTGAGAGCACTTATCCAGAATATCCAAATATTTTGGATGATTTCAGTTATTTCCGAGATAGGGCTATTTTAGCCCCATCATTAAGCGTTGTGGATGAAATAAATGACTATATGATTTCTTTAAACACTTCACTGCCTTCAAGAACATATTTCAGTTCTGATAGTATTTGTAAATCAGATTCTAATGTTGATCTTTTAGCAGATTTGCATACACCAGAATTCTTAAATAATATTCGTATCTCAGGTGTGCCCAATCATGAACTCACATTGAAAGATGGAACTCCAGTCATGCTTTTGCGTAACATAGATCATTCTATGGGATTGTGCAATGGAACGAGACTCATTATTACAAGACTTGGTGACCACATATTGGAGGCAAAGGTTTTGACAGGAAGAAGTATGGGGCAACAAGTATTGATTCCGAGATTGTCATTGACTCCTTCGGATGTGAGACTTCCTTTTAAATTTCAAAGAAGGCAATTCCCGATCATGGTTGTTTATGCTATGACTATAAATAAAAGTCAAGGGCAATCTCTTTCGCATGTTGGTTTATTGTTAAAGAAGCCGGTTTTTTGTCATGGACAATTGTATGTAGCAGTTTCCAGGGTCACGAGTCCAAAAGGATTGAAGATTTTAATCATAGGTGATAATAATGAAAGCACAAACAAGACCACTAATATATATTGAGTTCCCCATTTATAATTGATGTTCAATACGCTCAACACATTCTCAGCAATATATATTCTCTCTCTTACTCTTGCTCTGACTTCTCTCTAGTTATTCCCCGTAGTAACCCCTCAGATAGGTACCCCCCGGCTACACTTATCCATCATTTGGTGCTCTCATTGAGAGCTCGAACAATCAAGTAAGAAAACCTCCCCTTCATCTAAAAAAAACCTACTAAAATGGGAAGAACCACCCGTGCTCAGTCCAAGAACCTTGAGGACAACAACCTGGCCCTCGGTGAAGTCAACGCCCCCAGAGCCTCTAACAAGGCTCCCGAAGGTGGGGTCATCACTGAGTTGGAACAGGCTGCTGTTGACCTACGCCTTCAGCTCCAACAAAACGCTCCCGATGCCCGCCTCAGCATCGAAACCCGAAGGAGGGACCGGAGCGAAAATCAGGTGAGCCCTCCGGTTCTCACTATCGACGTACAATCGGCATTCTCTGCCTTCATCCAGAGACTCACTCAAAACCCAGGTGCCTTCGCCACTCTGGTACCCCTTCAAACACAAATCGGGGAGAACGTTGTTCTTCTCCCACGGCCACCCCCCTTTGTGAACCCTACCCCTCGGGTGGGGAACGACGAAGGGGTCGTGGCTCAAGACACCGCTTCCCAGGAGGTCCAATCCCGGGACCAACGCGGTGCGAAAAAAGAAAGGCCTCGGACCTCAACTCTCGAGAGGCTCGGAGGAGCGCAAGACCGCCGAGGGGTCCAAGACCTCCTCGGTGGAAAGGCGTCCTAAAGACCCCAAGAGAGCGGGGGATCCGTCTCAAGAGCAGACGAGAGGTGTCCCCATCAGGACAAAGGCAAGGCACCACTTCATGCCGATGACGCAAGGCACCAAATCAATCAGGCCCACTCGGCCCGTGTTCGTTCGTAAGGGGCGGAGGCCCTCCCGTAGGATCCCAGGGACGAAATCATTGCGGCCCTCCAGCACCGGCTTAATGAGATAGAGGCTCATAGAGCGCATACCGCCGTCGCCACCCCTCATGTAGATCCGAAATATGAGGCCATGCTGGCCAAAATGGAGGAAATGCAGAAGCAAATAGCCGAAGGCTCCGGGGAACCCGTCATCCAACTTCGGACTAGGACGCCATTTACCCCAAGGGTATTGGCGGCCCGAATTCCGGAAAAATACCGGGGGCAGCCCACCAGGCCCTATGAAGGAAAGACGGACCCTCAGAAACATTACAACCGCTACCAAAACAGCATGATGATGGTGGGGGCATCAGTTGAATATTTGTGCCGTTGGTTCCTCTCCACCTTAGAGGGACCGGCGTACGAATGGTTCAACTGATTGCCCGAAGGCTGCATCGATTCGTGGCAAGAACTCGCCCAACGCTTCTTGACGCAATTTGCAGGAACACGCCGGTCAAGAAAACATTTCTCCCACTTGCTGACAGTGAGACAAAGGATGGAGGAGACCCTTCGGGACTTCTTGGAATGTTGGAGGACGGAGGCTGATAAAGTTGATGGCGCTGACGATGGGACCCTCCTGGACCTCCTCCAAACAGTCCTTCGCCCCGGGAACTTTTCAAGGAGCCTCATCGTCAAACCCCCCCACGATTACATAACGGCCCTACAGCGGGGGGGACCGGTACGCCGAGGTCGAGGAGGTGGAAAAGTGCCATCACAACCCCAATCAGCAACGCCCTCGGCCAGATGACAAGGGTAACCGGCGGCCGGGGGCTCCCCATAATCAGTCCAAGGTTTCGGCACCCTCTAGTGATCGCCCCCGGCACGGCCAAGCCAAGCCCGGGGGAGGTTACAAGGGAAACCCGAAGGCGTGGGCCCAGCCCATTCTTTTGGAGCACCCTCGGACTCCCTTGACGCACCCCGTCAGTGTCATCCTAGACTTCGCCGAGGAGAGGGGCCTTGTGGAGCGCGACTCTCGCGCACCCCTGGAGGTATACACCATCAACCACAATTATCCTTATTGTCGGTTCCACCGCAACCAAGGACACAGCACCAACGACTGCCATCAGCTGAAGACGGCCATTGAAAGATGATACAGGCAGGACACCTGTCCCAATTCATCAGGGGCCCTCCGCCTCAGGGGACCTCTCACTACCAGGGGTCCCCTAAGAAAGCAAACGCTTGGGTCAACAAAAACACTATCCCCCTCGGCGACCCGAAGGGTAAGAAAAGGGAGATTGGAAACTTCGATGAAGAGGAGGAGTACAGCCAATACCAAGAGAAAAAGCGTCACATCAATATGATCACTAGAGGCAACACAGGAGGGGACTCCACCAGCCAGCGGAAG